GGAACAGATGATAACCAGATGAAAACTCAAAAGAAGCACTCTTGCTAACTTCTGGCTTCAGCCAGCCCAAGAGTTTACCAAATGTATCATCTATAACTGTTGTACTGCCACCGCCTCGGCCGGGGATTCCTGAGTGTCAGTGGTGGCTTAATTGGAATGAGACCTGGGTTGATCTAGCCTGGACACCCTGGGCCATTGACCACTGACAAGCTGGTATTCCCTGGTCCATTCCTAGGTGAATGTGGCTATGGTATCAACTCGAGTGGGGTTTGCTATACATAATCTATGGCCAAGTGCCATAGCCTATACCTGGACCTGAGTTGTTCGTAATCTTGGCTGGCTTATTGCTTATGTTGTTTTGTTATTCTCTTGAAAACATTTTTAATAAAAAATCCAGGCCGTGTTAATGAAATGATGCAATTAAGGAGCCCTTGGGCTCTCGGAAAGGGCATGTTAGTATAGCATCATTGGAAGACTATTAGTCACTTACAGGATAAACATTATTATCCAGTTTCCTCAGGAAGTCAGTGGGTTTTGACAACGTATTTATCTGGGAAGTAGCAGACTCACAGACAAATAATCCACATTAACTTGCCACCATATCGAAACAAGCTTGGGGCTGGTTGTTGTACACAGAGATCTTTGGAATAAAAAGAGACACATCTAGCCATTAGCATGCTGGGGTAATCACCAGTGCGTCATGTTTATATTAAGGGTAAGAAAGTGGCATCAGAGCCGCCACTCTGACTGGTGGATGCTGATTTATATGAAGTTCTCCCGTGGTGATGGAGTTATCACCTGATCGTATCCAAGTACATCAGGTTATTTTTCTCTTTCACCAATATAGCTGGTCTGACTGTCTTATCATGAGGAGGCGCAGACATCACTCAGTTGATTCTATAAATCTGTAAGAGAAATGAAGTCAATTTGTGAAGCTGCTTGCGCACAGAAGATATGTTACATGTCTGAAGGGAGGAGCCTTGGTTCCAGAAACTGGTTTCACTTTGGGGATAAAAGAATTCAGCAATAAGCATCTTAAAGGGCACTAGACTGAGGGAAACTTTTCCTGGAAGACTCAGCTTCTACTTGTCTTTTGGATATTGAAGTCATATCAGAGTGACATCCCAGAGTTTTGATTGTTATATTAAGCAGAGAAAAGTAACCGACAGAAACATAGGCTTTTTTGTGCCATTAAAGCATGCTTATTCTGAGCAGGCATGTTTTGGCGCGCTTGATATGATGTGAGTGCCAGCATGTCTGGTGCACACAGTTACTTGTCGCCCACATCCCACCGTGGACAATCACATCAATTTCCAACGTTTCCTGAATTCTTGATCTAGCGCAAAATGAAGGTCAGAAATAAACTCTACAGTAGAGTTGTGTTTACAGATTGTTGCTGTTTGGAGAGAACAGGCAGATAGCAGCGCTTCCAATTGAGGAGAATGCGTATGTTGTAGGTTTTATAATTCCTTTCAACTATCTGAAAGAGGAGCGGTGGTTTCACTCCTGTAATAAAACAGAGGCTACTATTGATTGAGTGCTCTGCTCTATGCCAGAAACTGTGCTTCTTCTTTGAATTTCACAACTGACTGCAAGACATTATTTTCTCAAGTTTAGGTTGAACAAACTGAATTCTTGGGGAGGGTGAAGTCTCCT